GCCGTGACCTCGGATAAAGCTTTTTAGTAACAAAGGTATATTCGTTTATCGAGAATCTTCGCAGTGAAATCAAAGACCCCGGGCACATCGTACGATGGAACAAACGAAGTGCATATTAGCCGGCCGCGCCTCGGCTATCGTTTACAAGACCACTGTGGGAGAGCCGGATCTGCCCCGCCGTGGAAAAATCACGGCTATACCACTGCGGCCGCGGTCTTTGTTTCATTCACGGGCGCTGCGTGTCGCGTTACGAGCGTGTACGCACGCACTCGAGTGCGAAGCTCCACCCTCTCAAGGATAAGAGGTTAATCGACGAGGTGTGGGGCAAGAAGGAAAAGGAGATAAGATTAAAAGCGTCGAGAGGTGGGAGAGCCGCGGCGACAAAGAGCGGAGACGCCGAGCCTCGAATCCTCGTTCTTACTTGGCGATTGCTTCATCAGATTTTTTTTTAGCTCGTTACGCTCGTTACCCTTTTCACGCTCTCTTCGGCGAGGAGACCCGAGAAACGGTTCCCTGATGCTTAACTAAAGAAAATTTCATTTAATATCAGGTTAGGAAGACGACTTTAACTGCCGGCTATGTTTATATAAAACGTATGCTGGCTTATTTATTAGCCGTCCACGGCGTCGGTTTCAGTTGTCGCGGCTGCTCTTTTAAAGCGCGTTTTGTTGGTGACACGGTCTCTTTTAAACCTTTTTCTTTTTCCTACACCGTTCAATATGAATAGCCAAAGGAAGCATTTACGGCACGTTACGCTTCATTGCTTTAGAAAAGGTAATGGCGCGAAGGATACTGCAGACGGGATATTTGTACCGTTTATGGGAGCGGTGCTGCGACTATTACGACCGTCCGCAATTGGTTTAAGAGATTCGGAGCTGGCAATTTTGACTTGAAAGATACGAAGACCGCAGCGGTCGTCCAGCAACGACGGACTTTATCAAGGCCGTGATCGCTGGAAAAATCCGCGACACAGGCTTGGATTTTCTATCAAAATGTGCATCGAAAACGCGCACTTGTTCTAAGGACCTTCGACCGTCGCGAAGCCTGCAATTCACCCGAAGAAAGTTCTTTGGTCGATTTGGTGTGCGACTGGACAGGTGTAGTAGTCTACCACGTGCTCCTTCTCCTCAAGGTGAAACCATCGATTCTGCTAAATACTTCAATCAACTTGATAAATTGAAAGCCGCCGTGGCAGAAAGACGAGCAGAATTGGCGAACCGACCAGGCGTCGTTGTTCGTCGCGACAATGCAAGACCGCGTATTGCATTCGCTGCGAGAGAAATATTGTTACAGTTTTATTGGGACGTTTTACAATCATCCTTCGTGCTCCCCAGATCTTGCTCCATCTTCCGACTATTACTTGTTCCTGTCAGTGAAAAAATCCTCTTCGTGATAAACGGGTTCCAATCCGCGAGCGAAATAAAAACGCGCCTCGTGGAATATTTTGCAAGTAAGCCTCGACAACTTTGGAAAGAGGGAATAATGAGGCTTCCCGAGAGACGGGCGAACGTGATCGAGCAGAACGTATTCGTATATAACGCAATAAATCAACCTTAAGCAACAAATAATCGTGCGCGTTCTCATTTCGTATCGCAAAAATAACCTAATACGTTCACGTCGAGAGTTTCTTTTCGACCGTGTCTCTCTGGAGTCACGTTATTGGAAGGCTACTGATTCATTTGCATGTGATAAGGTATTGCATTGTGTAATGCAATACCCATAATACCTTTCTTATTCGTTTGGAGGAGCGCGTAGTCACGCTCGTGTGTGATCTATAGAGAAGCAAAAGCGATCGAATCACCAGTTCAAAAACTCTGAACAGTTTATATCCCATAAACTCTACAGCAAATGTACGGTAATAATTTCTATGGAATGCTCATTAAATCGATTCTGTGTTCCTAGATTACGTATACACATTGCTGTAATTTACTTTTTCCTAGCATATACCTAACGCGACGAGAAATTAAAGTTTTCTCTCGAATTATTCTTTCCTCAAATTCTTAGAAATACGTTCTAAAAATATCATAAAATGACGCTTGTATATAAAATATACAAAAATATGTAATAAATTATAATATTTGTTGTATTATAATTTATATTTAATTTATTTTTATAAAATAAAATAACTCCATAAAATATAATAATATAATAATATAATAATATTATAATATATAATATAATATATAATATAATAATATTTATTATTAATATCATATTGATATTATATTAATATTATATTGATATTATATTAATATTATATTAATATTATATTTAATATAATACATTATATATAATAATATAATATAATAACATAAATATGTTTCTGAGAAATTTGCGATGCTTAACCCTTTGCGCTCGAAGCCATTTAAACCGTAAATCTAAAATAATTCATCTGATTTATAGTATCTCCATTTTATATGACAAAGTGCATTTTGTGCACACGAAATTGAGTCTTGCGATGACTCGTATAACAGTTAAACTTCCAACAATTCTTGAAATCTAAACTTCGATAACATAAAAACGATTTTGGGAAAAATTGAATTAAAAATTCTAGTGATGTCTCAGAGTCACCGCTCGAGTGCAAAGGGTTAAAACGATGTATTCGTCGCTGCCCCATATTCGCACCGACTATTCCAGGCGCGTCCACGTATCGGCAAACAATATGCGAGCAAAATGCCGGACTAAACGGAACAGAAATCGGAACGCGGTCTCCAGGGTCGACGCGCGCCGAGTTCATTGGGATCGAAAAGTTCAGGAGCCATTGTGATAATTAGATAGGAACTGAAACAGCGGGGCGGGAGGGAGGGAGGGAGGCCATTAGGCGTACCGGTCGAAGCCACGTGACGTCGTTTCGAAAGAGAATTTCACAGCCTTGAGCGTCGTACCCACCGAATTCAATGGACATTTAATCAAACCGAAGGACACGTAGTACTACGCGTAGTATGGCCGTCGTGTAATTTCATGGTCGAGAGAAAACGAGGGTACTACGACGTACTCGAGCGAGCAGCGGCGCATCCGCGCCGCGGTTACCGGACGGAACAGTAGGGAGCCGCGTGCGTGTAGAAGCGTGGTGTGCGTTTCGGCGATCGCTTGGTGCACGCGAGAAGGAAACGCAGCGCAGCGGTCTGCTATCCGGCGAAATGGAATCGGCTTTTTCTCCGGGCAACATTAACCCCTTGCCGTACTTTGACGAGTCCGACTCGTCATGAAAATTTCTATTATTAACTCATTGAGTATAGATGTTATTTTGTCCTTTAAAATTGCAATAAAATTCTATTCTTTTGTCGTCAATATTTAAGCATTCAAGTAAATTTAAGCGCACAATAAGCATTAATTTCTTTTTAGAATTTCTTTTCTTATTAGAATCGAAAAATTTCTAATCACAGTAACTGCGAAGAAAATGGTATGTCAAGGGGTTAACGTGTTAACCGGGGGAAACGGCGCGAGTCGAATTTCCTGATAACGATGTCGAACGGGTCGCGTCCAATCGGCGTCGATCATATTTTAATGTATAAACGCATTCAAGATGGCCGACGCGGAGGATATCCTGCCCGACGGGCGACCGAGGTGCTAAGTTGTCGGTGCAGACCATTTACAGTCGGTGGCTAGTACGAGAAAATGTACAGTAATGTCTCCCTAATTGACGCTCAGGTTGTCCACAAAAATGGACGATTTTGGAAGAGGAGATACGATTGTTCGAGCCTTGTTCCTCGTTTTTTATGGTTATCGATTAGCAACGACTATAAAAACGAGTTGCTCTCGTATCTCCTCTTACCAAATCGTCCATTTCTGGGAACAATTTGAGCGTCAATTAGAGAGACATTACTGTATTGCTAAATAAATTGTTGCTCGAACACCGTCGAATAATCGCATCTCTCCTCTTCCCAAATTGTTCATTTCTGTGCACAATCCGAGCGTCGATTGACTCAAATTATCGCCCCAAAGATTTGTCGTAGTCCGAAGAGCCAACGAAAAAGCATCGAAATACAGTGATGTCTCCCTAACTGACGCGCCGATTGTCCACAAAAATGGACAATTTGGGAAGAGGAGATACGATTATTCGAATCTTTTGGCTCGTTTTTATAGTTACGAATTTTTAACAACTATAAAAAAAACGAGTCGCAAGGTTCGAATAATCGTATCTCCTCTTCCCAAATTGTCCATTTCTGTACGCAACCTGAGCGTCAGTAAGAGAGACATTACTGTGCTCTGAAAATGGCTCCAAATCGCTTGAATTTTGTTGAGATGTTAGTTCGACCAGGTTGCTTGTAACTGGACGAACAAAAATATTTTTAGATTGGTTGGGATGATACAAATATTTAAAAATAGCATGTCTTCTCAACGGTTCCATCTGTGCCTGAAAATTTAAACAATGCTCTGTAAATCCCGCGCAGCCTAGAGGCAGATAAAAATCTTCGTCGGAACGAGGATGCATCGCGTACAAACTCGAGTGCCCTAACTGCATAATCTCGCGGCATGATCGTTCCCACACGCAGCCCCGAAAATCGCTGTCGCTATCGCTATCCCCGAAAATCGCTGTCGCTATCGCTATCCCCGAAAATCGCTATCGCTATCCCCGAAAATCGCTGTCGCTATCGCTAACCCCGAAAATCGTTGTCGCTATCCCCGAAAATCGCTGTCGCTATCGCTATCCCCGAAAATCGCTGTCGCTATCGCTATCCCCGAAAATCGCTATCCCCGAAAATCGCTGTCGCTATCGCTATCCCCGAAAATCGCTATCGCTATCCCCGAAAATCGCTATCGCTATCCCCGAAAATCGCTATCGCTATCCCCGAAAATCGCTGTCGCTATCGCTATCCCCGAAAATCGCTATCGCTATCCCCGAAAATCGCTGTCGCTATCCCCGAAAATCGCTGTCGCTATCCCCAAAAATCGCTATCCCCAAAAATCGCTATCCCTGAAAATCGCTATCGCTATCGCTATCCCCGAAAATTGAGGACAACGAATTAAAACGAGGTTATTTTCTACGATTGTTGCAGAGGTGGGAACAGCTGGTCGTCTCGAAGCTGAAATGGGAATTATCCGCAGTGACGCCCGGTGACTTCCTGATGCATATCCTGAACAGACTGCCCATGCCGCGTACCTGGGACCCGATGATGGTCAAGAGGCACGCGCAAACTTTCATCGCCCTCAGCGCAAGAGGTGAGAAATAATCGGCAGCTACCGTACGCGATTCTTTATGCATTTATGGATGTAGGACGGCTGCGCGCCGGTTCTCGCGGCCTATCCACTGTGAAAAATTCGTGGTCGAACCAATTCTACCTTCCTGTAATAGAAAATTACCTGAACGACGCCCAGGTTCTTCGGTTTTAACCAGAGAACCACCGTAGCTGTTCTAACCGAAACGGAAAGAAAAATTGAAGTATAATCATCAAATTTCACTTAAAACGATATTTTGGTTGTCCAATCGCCATTATAAACGACGGAAATATTTCTTCGTTGTAAACAAGCATTATAGACGACGAAAATTGTGTTAAATTGTGATGATGAGAATGTTATTTTGTTACAGATAATCGTTATAATTGACGGAAACAGTTTTTGGTTACGGATAATCATTAAAGATAATCAGAATTATGTATTGATTTCGAATAACCATTATCGACCATCGGAATTTGATTTTGGTTATCGGTAATCGATTATATATCGGCGAGCAGCAATGCTATGTAAAATCTATATAAAATCTTGACCAACGAACTCGCACAGTTTAAAAAAAAGAAATCGGAATTTTCGGGTTATCGAACTTCCCTTGTTAGCACAGTAAATCGGTTTACATTACATTCTTCTCATAAAAGCGTTTCTTTTATTCATAATGCCGCAAGGAAGTTATTTGAATGAACAGGAAAAGGCAAAATTTTAGCTAATTGCAACGGATACGAAAATACGTGGAATTCCACGTAGGCTCGGTCGATCCCATAATGTTGTAAGGAACTTTTTGAAAAATCCAAATCAGTATCGGCAAAATAAGGAGGAAGGACTCTAGAAGAAGCTTTCTCCCCGATTTGAGCTAAGACTCTTATTTAAATTAAATCAGATAATAAATCAGATAATCGAATATTTGAATCCACTGAAAAACAGAGGCATACCCCACGCGTTACTGAATTATTGTTACAAATTCATTTTATTGTATTTTGAATTGAATTTTTGTGTAATAAAGTTTTCTGTTCTGTTAGTTTTTTTATTTTTTTTTTTTACTGAATAAGATTTATCCCCTTTTAGAAAAATATCGTTTCTCGATATTTTACGAAAACTGAAAATTTTGGGTGGTTTTATAGTTACGAGGCGCAGCGTATATTTTTATATTATTATATTATGTTATTAAATATCATAAATATTATACTACATTATTATATTAAAAATAAAATTAATAAAAAACAACACTATTGGAAGGCTTCATCTGAGCCTGTGTTATTGTAAATAGTAAAAAGAGGAAAAGAATGAAAATTGTTCTATCAATTATTTGAGAAAGTATTCGAATAACTACATGAGAGAAAATATTTGATCGATTATTAAGAATTAAATGAAGTCTCTACTGTATAACAAATAGACTCCGGTTTTTCAGAATTTATCACTACAATGAATAGACAGATTTAAAGAATTCAAGCATCTATAATTCACCGACATTATTGCAGTAAGAAAGAATTTTCTGACTTTCGTTTGTTGCAATTGACGAAGACAATTTTTCTTTTGTACAAACTTTAAAATCTGTCGAATATCAAATGGTTGATTTCATCTCGTAATAAATACACAATAAAATTACAAAAATGTGAAACAAAAAGCAGAAGTACTTTCAAGAAAAATTGATGATTAGAAATAATCGGCAGTCCGCGATTACAAAATTTCGGCGCGCATCGTGCATCGACAGCCGAATATATTCAAGCTGTCCAGAAAAACCGTTGATTATTCAGACATCTATATCTCGTAAACGACCGGCACATACGGGTCGAGAGGGAATTCTAATTCGTTCCACTTTCGTCGATTATGAAATGGTTATTACGTGTGAACCGATTTCCGCGGCGCCGTAATTTTCATAGCGGCGTCTGACCGGCTTGATAAGGATAATCAACGAGAAAAGGAAATTCATGTGCACATTCTTTTCGCTTCTTCGGGCATCCACCGATTAACGGGGAATTTAGCGCGAGCCACAGTCCTAAACTGTGTTCCAGTTTCCATCGCTTGTCAAATAATGGTTTAAAAGGCTGATAATGACTGTGAGCGTAACTAAAGCCAACGGAAACGAACGTGGCAGACCATAATTCAGTGTTCTTAGGTTTTTTTTGTCCATAATCTGACACAATCTGAAACAACTGAAATGCGAACAATTTCAACGTTTAATTATATATCATCAATCTTCAATGTTTAAAAACACTTTCTCCAGAAAATTCGTAAACATTATTTTACAAATCGCGAATTTTCCTGCTTTTTGCCTCTCGTAGATAGATTTAATTATTCATATGTATACTTAGGATACTTGATGACATCGTATCATGCGTGTAAACAGTTTTTAAAATGGATTTTTATGCAAAGTAAGAATTATAAAAATTGTCCGCTTTCTTTTAACAACTCTATTAGATTAAAAATGATGCATTGTCACTTTTAAACCCTTTGAATCCTTGCCGCTATCTTAAAATGCAACAACCCAATTTTGTTATAAATTCGTCATTTAACTACTATGTAAACTTTCTAAAAATTGTCCACGTCGTTTGCGGACGCTACGCTTTATCGCATCGAAGTACATTTTCCAGTCTCAAATTGTAATTTAATTTACAACAATCCAAGAAAGTCCAAGCCCGAGCCGATCTCGCTATTAGAATTTTCGAATTAACAAATAGATCGGCGGATAACGATGCGAAGCTTGAGTCGTTGCGCCAAAAAATAAATACGCTTATTGCCGGCGGTTGTTAAGGCCGGGACAGCGGCAAAAGCAAGATTGCGATAATTCAAGGTATAAGCAGTAAATGAGAGCAGCATGATACTTCTTCTGCTAATAATTCTGGTAGGATAATGGCCGGCCGTAACTTTTCACGGATCGTAAAACCTGAAGAGATTCGCGATTGCGTTTTTGTTTGAACGAAACCGATCGAAGTAACAGCGTGTTCCACCACGGTGCACGGTTTCGGCCCGACGATTCGAAATTCTAATCGCGCGTAGTAAACGCGATTTAAAATGGAATTCTTACGCGCCTGGGTCCTTCATTGTCAGCCTCGTTAGAACCGTGCCACGGCATCGTAAACAATCGGGAGCGTTGCATCGTTAACTCGCCGCGGCGTTAATGAATATGCCCGCGCGTTGTATAATGCGCCCGCCGCGGCGGAAACCATCACGTAACTACTTCGAATCGATTCCCCGTGCGTTTCTTTCACTTCGTTTAATGGGTCATGCGCGCATCTAATTATGCGCTCCGCCTCGGACGAGAATGGAGTAACGAAAGTGCAAGGGTACGGTTGTTCGAACCGTCTTCCTTCATTTCTCCTGGTTCGCCTCGGACACTTCGGTCGAAAACGCGACGTTCCGGGAGATTGCAGCAAATTCTCTACGATCGTCCCTCAGCTTGCAAACAGAAGTGGACGATTTGGGAAGGGGAGATACGTTTATTTCGAGCCTCGCGGCTCATTTTTATGGTTTCCCATTGTCAACGATTATAAAAACGAGGCGCAGCGCTCGAATAATCGTGTCTCCTCTTCCGAAAATCGTTTCGCTTACAAGGCGAAAGAACGGAAGAATTTACTGTACATTTTATTATATAGTAAATTCTCCCTAATTCACACTCAGCTTGTACAAAAGAATGGGCAATTTGGGAAGAGGAGATGCGATTATTCGAGCCTTGCAGCTCGCTTTTATAATTGTTGACAATCGGTAGCTACTTTTTTAAATAATAATTTCTTACTATTTTCTTCTTGCTAATTTCTTGCTCATTTTTGTAGTTACTGATTGTCAACAACCATAGATACGAGTCGCAAGACTCGAATAGTCGCGTCTTCTATTCCCAATTTGTCCGTTTCTGTTTATCAGATGAGAGACGATTGGAGAAAATTGACTGCAACTGTTTCGTCGAAAATGGCGTTGATGGCTTTCAACTTCTCATTACTTCGATAGCAGAAATATTGTAGAACTAGTTATCATACTTCTGGTTAGTTTGGTCTATTTTGTGCCATTCTAGTTTACCTTGTGCCACTCTAGTTTACCTTGTGCCATTCTGGTCTACTTTGTGCCAATGCGGTCTACTGTGCCCCGTTATACTCCTATTGACCACTATGCCACTTTATGATACTCTATACCACTTTCTGCTACTTCGTATTGCTGTCGACTATTCTATGCTACTCTGCGCTACTCTGCGCTACTCTGCGCTACTCTGCGCTACTCTTCGCTACTCTTCGCTACTCTGCGCTACTCTGCGCTACTCTGCGCTACTCTGCGCTACTCTTCGCTACTCTGCGCTACTCTTCGCTACTCTTCGCTACTCTTCGCTACTCTGCGCTACTCTGCGCTACTCTGCGCTACTCTGCGCTACTCTGCGCTACTCTGCGCTACTCTGCGCTACTCTGCGCTACTCTGCGCTACTCTGCGCTACTCTGCGCTACTCTGCGCTACTCTGCGCTACTCTGCGCTACTCTGCGCTACTCTGCGCTACTCTGCGCTACTCTGCGCTACTCTGCGCTACTCTGCGCTACTCTGCGCTACTCTGCGCTACTCTGCGCTACTCTGCGCTACTCTGCGCTACTCTGCGCTACTCTGCGCTACTCTGCGCTACTCTGCGCTACTCTGCGCTACTCTGCGCTACTCTGCGCTACTCTGCGCTACTCTGCGCTACTCTGCGCTACTCTGCGCTACTCTGCGCTACTCTGCGCTACTCTGCGCTACTCTGCGCTACTCTGCGCTACTCTGCGCTACTCTGCGCTACTCTGCGCTACTCTGCGCTACTCTGCGCTACTCTGCGCTACTCTGCGCTACTCTGCGCTACTCTGCGCTACTCTGCGCTACTCTGCGCTACTCTGCGCTACTCTGCGCTACTCTGCGCTACTCTGCGCTACTCTGCGCTACTCTGCGCTACTCTTCGCTACTCTGCGCTACTCTTCGCTACTCTTCGCTACTCTTCGCTACTCTGGGCTACTCTTCGCTACTCTATGTGGCAGCATGCAAACCGA